AGACTTGCCACGGTCTCCAACCCTCCTCCTTTCTCATCCGGGCTTGGGACCGGCCATGGCGGAGTTCTAACGGGGAATCCGATAGAAAATTAAAGAACTGGATCTGTGAACAAATGGCTTATTTCTAAAGAGCGAAGGAAAAACGCTTTCTCTATACCGAGCACAGCATACTACAAAACCACGTCATAAAATTGAGTATAAGTAGTAGTTGCGCAAGGATACTAACTGGCAGAGAAACTGATTTTGGATGCATCTTTGAAAGGTGGAATGGACAAGAAACAAGATTAGCAAGCACAACCATGGCTTCCTTGGTTGTTAATTCAGTCAATAACTGACAGATCATCTGATTTCATGGTTGGAAGCACCGTTAGCAGAAAGAGCCGTGAACGTAAAAGTTATAAAAATTTTTAATTACTCTATACGCTTTGAACTATAATCTCTCGTTATAACCTCATGATCATATTCTTACAAATTTTCGAAGCATCAAAATCATTCAAATGCAAAAAGGTAAGTTATCACCCCGGCTCTCACATCACCATCAAAATAAGAGGACAAAAACAAAAATTTTACACATTACAAGGACATGCAAGAACCTAGCAATTTTTACTCCAGTTTCACATTGGTTGCGCACTCCCTCAGTTCGAACTGATCTTTTTTTATAAAGTGATGAAAGATCAATTTCAACGGACTGTTGGCAAACTATTTTTTTCTCTCTCGAAAACTGGCTCTTTTTAGTTCCTTTGAAAAACTGTATGCAGCAACACATACTAATGTGGAAACTTTTTCCTGATGCTTTCGCTGTTGTCTACCAGCGCATGAACAAAGCACTTTATATTTATCGAAATAAACGAATAATTTTCTGTTATTCGCTAAGTAGCGTAAATTAACTTAATGAAAAACCCCTACCCCGTTTGGAAAATAAGAAATCATCGGTTGCGGGTTCATGCGTTATTTTCGAGGGAATCGAGTGGTAACTGTGAGTTGTAGGATAAAATTAGATATCCGTTTTTCTAAAAAAAAAAGCATTACCTGCTCTGTAATCGTGACAGCAATCGGCGTATTATACTCTGTCATTTTTATGCAGAAGCAATTGGGCATCGCATGTGCATCTCCTTGTTCATTCATTTTATTATATGATGCTGGATTTACTTATTTCAAAACTGACTTTTTCGACAGTTTTATTTTTATAGAAATGCTCTGCTCAAGTATCACTGGATAACCAGCTCAAATCTGATAGTACTGTTTACGATACTGTGCAACGCCACGGTTTAGCATTGGCCATTGCTCACGTTTACGAAGGCAATATGTTCCAAAATTAAAATTTCAGACTCCGTCAATTCTGCAAGCGTTAGTGATTTCAGCCGCAGATGCGTAATGCGCTTTATAACAGCAACTGCTCCTTTTAGGCTGTTATATACATTTGTTGGCTATATGAACCTTCCGACGAAAAGTAGTATGTTTGTTATTATGCAGTCATAATTGAACATGTTTTAAGTGACTGACGTTAAATTTGAATGGAATTACTCATGACTGCTCGAATATTACCTCATTAAGATGAAAAACTGCGAAATTAAAGATTTGCGATCCTCAGGGATGCTGATAAATGTTTCGAAAAGGGGTGAATTCACATGAGACAAAATCAGCTTCGAACCCGGGTACAACCGGCTGAAATGGGTTGTCTGAGACAAGTCGCTGGCCTTACGCGTCTCGACAAGGTCCGGAATTCAAACATCCTTGTCAGTTTCGCATAGAGCTTCAGACTGAGAAGTTATGGCTGGGTTAACTTGATCATGAGTCACGAATGTACAGAACAAAATGTGGAAGCAATTAATATTTGTTCAGCCGACCGGCAGAAGGCCCGGGGGACGGCCAAGATTAACCTGGGGCAGATATGTGGAAGCAAAGTAGCTCATACTCCAGCTGTCTTCTGCCAAAGCTTAGAGCCCGGTGCAGAATCTGGAACGTTGGAAGAACGGTCTGACGCATTTGCCGCTGCGATCCGGTGAAAGAAGCAGGCATGGAAGATGAAGATCAAGAAAACTTAGAGATCAGCCTCTGATAGGGTTTGATAAAAAAGTTGAAAACGAGAATCAAAGTATACTTAAATATGTTCCATGACTGGACACTGTGGAATAGCCGCAGTCGAATGGGTGAATAGTAAAACAGAGGGAGCACCTCACTGTGACCGATTTGCTTGGAAAAAAATATGACATTTGTCGCAGTAATGAGCTTCTGGTTTATAGCAATCTTAATTTTAATCTTTTTAACGGTCATACGTCATAAATTTTGGTTAATCTGCCATGAAGCTTTGTTAGCTTCTGATGACATTGCCAGAACATCAACGATACCAACTGCTGTTAGGATAATTCACTTCCGCCCACACAAGCAGTTTCGATATATACCCTCCGTCGAGCACCTATTTGTGACCTCCAGCGGTGGACTGCTTTGCTGTCATCGCGCACAGCTGCGGAGAGTCAAACCATGAAGGCGTCAGATCTGATTTACTGATATTTGACTAAGTACGGATTACAATATTAGACAATCACCTAACTGCAAGGAAGATGCTTGGAATGAGTCAATCAAAAGACATATTGACGTTATATTCTTGGAGAGACCTTTATTTTGCAAGGGGTTCTTGAACTATTATTGTGTGGTTCTAGCAAATTCTCGGAAATTGAATCATTAGTAAGTAGTTGAACTTTATCATCCGTTAAACCGTACTGCCAAATTCTGCTACTGTTGCTGTACGAATGTTTCAGGTTTTACAAAATTTTTGTTGTTGCTAGAAGTTGGTATGATTTAGTCATTCTTCTTTATTTTAGTAGATAAACTATAAAGTTATTTTTCGTTTAAACGTTATTATCAGTTTACTTTTCGTCGTGAATCATTAATGTGCGCAAAATTTCACCGTTTAAGCTATAATTTTCTATTTGAATCTTGGCTTCCCCTTTGGATTTGTAGTAGAAACGAATGATGAATAGTTTTTCTTACGTTTAGGACTCCAGGATATAGTTTAGTCTTTTTATAGCTTGTCCAGTAAGCACAATTTATGATTTAAATAGCTTTTCCTACGGGTTTCGTTCGATTATTTATCTTTCGGTTTTATCTTTCCTTTAGCACTAATGATGTTGCTAAGTTCTAGCAGTTTGTTGAGCAGCACTCTTTTTAACCTTCAATCGACTTTCGGCGATCCTTTTTAAGCATGAATTAAGCCAGGGCTGATATGATGATTTAGGTAACGGAATTAGAACACGTACTGAGTGTGAAATAAGGGCAACGTCGAGCCGGTGGATGGTGTTGAAATCGATTCGTCATGCTTCCAGTTGCTGTGCATCATCGTTGGTTGCTCTTGTCTCCAAAGGACAGCAAAAACAAGAATCTCTAGCCTCAGCGTCTTCGCTGCGCCGGTCTCCTTGCATCAAGGAAAGTTGCAGATACTTCTTCCCTAGGCTCTCTTGTCTGAGGCCTGCGCCTCGAGTGGAGCATCTCTTCCGATTAGACTAAGTCGTAAGTTAGCATAGAAAATAATGATTTTTCTTGTCATTAACACAGGTTGTTCGTGATATCTTTCTGAAAATCAGTATTGTGACCTATCAGCATATCACCGTTTGGTCGTTTCTTTGATAGTTTAGCCGAATGACACTGGTGTTTTTAGTACAATGGCTCCTATTCGTGGCCGTGGCGGTGCCCTACGAAGAGGGGTTCGTCATCGAGTACACCCGCGAACGGAGGAGAGGTCAGAACAGAAACAGGTATTTATTTTTAAAACGACGTAAAATGTTTGGAATCCTCAAAATAAGAGTTGTTTTTTAAACAGGTGCAAGTGTACAACTTTAATGCGGAAGATGTGAACGAAGATAACTTTTACAAGTTGTTTAAAAGTCAGGCCTCTCCGGAGGCCCACAAGAAGGCCCAAGAACTCAACCGATTAAAGTACTTGGCTACAGTTAAAGTACTGTTGGACAATAAGGTGGTGATATTGGAAAGTACGTAATTATTATGTGAAGCTTTTATCGTTTCCGTCCTATGGGTTATTGAAGATCACCATTCTTTCTAACACTTTTATGGTTGGCATGACGAAAATGTAAAACCCTCTTATTAGTTGAGGTAATTACTCGATCGAGCTCACACCGGTACTGATCAGTGCCTCTTTGACGATCGAAAGAGGCGTTGGTCCCTAAAACAGAAGACAAAATTGTTTTTTGGTGGCGTTAACTATGCATGACGCTTTTACAAAATACGTAATCCGCATTTCGAAGTTACCATTCATTATTCCTTATTGGTCATACTGAGAAATTTCTGGATGCTATGCCAACGGGACAGATGTGTTAATCTATCACGCAGTTAACCTGTTACATGCGTCTCGTTTGGTTTATTACTACAATGATATATTCATAAAGATACCTATTTTTCAGCAAATAATCGTTCAGACCTCGCATACTATACTACAATGTACACAGTGATGACAACAGCTAGTAAGATCGGCTCGCAGATCACAGGCGGGACATTCAAAAACAACGAACCGGAAGTACCTAGAATCGAACGGATGAGGTAGAGCAGTGAATTCGAATTCTTTTCAGATTTGGTCTCTTCGTGGCTTGTCGGGAAAATTCTGGCACTAAGCGTGGGAATACAGGCATTGAAAGACAGCATTCACGTTCACTATGGAAATATTGACTCCACTGAAGAGTTCCTTGTAACCTCTGGTTCAGAAAGCTTCATGCTACTTGTTCTTGTCCAATTTACAGTTTCTGCTCTTACCCTTTCCGGCTTTCATCATCTTCGGGCGATACAGAGGATGAACTTGACGACAGACGACTGATAACCGAACAATTCCACGGTATTCTGGAAAATGGATTTCTCCAGCGATTCCATTGAAATGGAAGTGATGCATTAATGTACAATTTGGCGAAATCAAACAAGTTTTCTACATATTATGTTTTTACACCTTCAACACCTGTGAGATGGTAAACTAATACCGAGGCGAAGGAGCATCGACGTAGCTCTCGGCGCTAGAACACCAACATATCAGGTCCTGGTTGAGAAAATCCGCGACAACAGTAGCGAAGGGACGGTCGGCAGAATGTAAATGTCGGTAATATTGGATATTAACGACTGTACTCCTTTTATGAGACCTTGCTTGATCACCACAATTTAATGTATGTTTCTATGGAAAGTGATGATCTATCAGTATCGGTTTGGATTGAAACTGATTCACTGTTC